ACCGTGATCAGACGATAATTAGCCACATTCCGCGGGAAATAGATATTGTGATTGGCTCATGGCTGTGCGTTAGATTGATGAGATGGCTAGCCTGGGGAGCACAGGCTCACTTCCAAAACAGGAGCGTGACTCTGCGATGTATCGTATCAGTGTAACAGAAAATGACGATTCCTGGGATACCGGCATGCGTCACACGCTCATTTTCGGTGACAGGCCCCTGCCAAGAACGGCACAAAACACGGAATGGCCATTTTTGATTAATCCAATGACAGCGGGAGGAATCGGAATGGCCGAAGCAATCCCACCCAGATGGCAGACACAGGGGCGCAGCAGGTGGTCGCAAATGGATGGTGATGGAATTGCCGTGCCAGGCGGCGGTCATATTTGATTTCCATGACGATCGGTATTGGTGGCACGTCCGCCCATCCACGGGGCCGATAGGAGCTGGCGCCTCGGGCTGCACGATTCGTCCGGGGGTGCCAGATCGCTCAAAACACGACACTGATACAATAGGAAATCGGATGTTCATGCATACGAGTGCGCTATCGTATGGAATTAAAAGTCAATGAAACTTCATACAGATTTGATTTTCAGAATTATTTAGTAGGAACCTTTGACCTATTTGACGTGTCACTACGGTAAGAGGAATGTTAACAACTCATATACAGGGTTGGGCGGGTAAATTGGGACAAAATACATAGGTATTTGCATTTAGAACGCCGTAGCTTAGAAGTTTGTTAACATAAACATTTCAAATTTGGGTCACATATTGTCGCATCAATTTTACACATTTATTACCAAATATGGTCACCGTGGTCCACCTGCATCAGTCCTTGTCGGTGCCTTGACTGGCCGCACGCGCGGCGAGATCTCCCGTTTGAAAGGGCTCGTAATTGTAGCCGACTGGCACTGCTGAGGCTCGCCACAGTCACATGGGGACGTTCGTTGGACTCACCCGCAAAAACGCTCCAGCAACCAGAACTTGTGTGGGCTGAGGTTTAATGAGGAAGGGGGCATTTTCCCTTGGGTACAGTTTGCGGGATCCTCCGTTTCAGGAGATTTTGTATTATAATTTACTGTATGCCGGGGAGCTGACTTCTCGAAGAGCAGGCTCCATGCAGGCTGTTGCCTTCTTCCATGTTGTTGATTCGAACTGCCGGAATAATGGTTAGGTACCCTGTTATGGGGAACCCCCTCCCGATTCCGTAAAATAAGGGGGCCTCACGTGACCGTCAGAGGTCACCGCGTGGAATGCCATCACCGATGTCTGCTGCATGCTTTTTGGAACTAAGATCACGTCTTCTGGGCTGGTTGCGATGTTACATGGTGTTTGCGGTTGTTCATATGTTCGGTAATGGGGATACCATCGTCGGAAAAGACCTGCACGTGCTTGCTCGCTTCTCCAAGCCCTTCAAGAGGAAACAATCTTTTTAACGTCACAACTGCTTCAACATCTATGTTAACAGGTTGATATGCATCAATGCATTAGAGTACATGTTTGAGGTGCTGGTATATCGCTTTGTCATGGCGCGGCTACCTTCGTTGTAAGCTCGCGCCACTGTTTTCGCGAGGATCCTCTGATTTAACTGAAATTTGCCTTTTAAAGGGACCCTCCCACCTTAACATTAGATTTGAGTTGAGATAGCCAAAATGGGGTCCCTGGCTCACAATTACCGGTTTCGGCACTCACAACATCGAGAAATGCCTTAAATCGGAAATATTGAATTTCAAAATTGCAGCATTTTGATTCAGAGGGGCTAATGCATGGTAATACCCCTCTGAATGTGTGACGTCAGCGCAGATATCTAACGATTTTTAAATGTTTGACTAAAACGTTTTGTAGCACGCGGTGGTATATGCTGCTTTGCGCGCAACAAGTGCCGCACTTTCAGCTGCCAAACTGTTGCTTCCAAATAAAGTCGCTAGGAACAGCGGAGATCCCAAAAAGTAAACAAAAGTAAAAGTCTAATATCTTGAAAACCGGTGAATATTTTTCGGTGAAATTTGGTAGATATTCGTTTTCGCTCTTTCTGAATCGAGCGACATCACTTTCATGCCAATTCATAAACTTTTTTAAGGTGGGAGGGTCCCTTTAACCCCCCTGGAAAACCAGGGGAGCGGCCGGTGTCAATGCAATAGGTATGTAAGGATGAGTCAATATCATTTCTTCCTCCAACGTTTACGTCTGTTCGATACACACTACTTTCATCCATTTGATGGAGCATAATTAGAGCATTGGCATGCATGTGCGCGCGGACTATGTTGATAGTGGCTTGCGTAAGCCCACGTTCTGTGACCAGCCGACTCAAAATTACAAAACATCCTACATAACATGGATAAGTATTCATTAGCCTATAGTTATGTTCAAAAACTATCTTAAAGGGACTATCCCACCTTCTAAAATGTTGTTAAAACCAGTTAAATTGTGCCCGACTTTATAGATTGGATGACCAGGAACACGGTTCTGGCATTTATTTTTCATTAAACATCTTAGGCTTCCCATATTCCAAACACAAACTTTCAAATATGTGACGTCACAGCCCAAAATTACCTCCTTCCCCAGGCCACATTACTGTCATAAAGCTGATTCTTTTTACTCTGTAGGCACCACAACAAAGTTCAGACCAAGTTTTAAGTGATTTTTCAACGAACAAACCCATTTAAATCAGAATGACTAAACGAGGTGACGTCACACTAACGGTCGCTCCATGTTGAAGATAGGGCCTTGCACAAGGCCCATTTTCAAATGAAGGGAACGAATTTCTTCAACACCAAGAGGCCGCGGGGGTTGCAACCTAGATAGATAGTGGTTTCTGAACCTCGCCGCAAACTTGGCTATCTCAACTCAAACCCCATGTTAAAGGTGGGATAGTCCCTTTAATCATTCATAAAATAGTCGTTTTATAGGAAGTTGAAATTTGTCCCAATGTATCTGCCCAACCCTGTACTACACCTTTTTGCGTTAGCTTTTGACCATTGGGCAAAACATTTGTACACATTCGCCATATAGATGGCGCTACAAATGGGCGGTTGGTCAAAAAGAATCACCATTGTGCAAAACTGTTCGGCGATCCTCCTCTACAACTCGACATTGAGCAAATGGTTCAACATTGTGCAAAACAAATCGTCAATGGTCGAAACTATTCGTCATTGAGCACCCGGGAATTCATGATTGGCCAAAACCGTCTATGGAAATTTCAGCATTCAGAAAAACAGATCAGCAATGATCAAAACAAATGATCGTGTGCACTGGTGGCCGCAGGGGATATGGAGCAGCTCATGGGGCCCAATCCTTGACATTTCCCTCATATAACCGAGTGGATGATGGAACAAGCACACTGGGCGGCCAGTAAGTGTTCACTGGACGAGACCGACCTCAGCCGGCACACCCAGCATATACGTTCGGCTGAGTTCGGAGCTCACCATATTTCTTTGTGCGCATGAGTCCCACACTTCACAGATAAACAACACCTTGCGCTCATTCTAAGTCAGCTGAACGGTATTGCCTTGGGGCTCGAAATGAGATAGGCCTCATAAATTGGCGAAACCTTGCCCTCGTGAGGGAGTTCCAGGATACCAAGGCGACCGTCATGGCAGATTGCACGGCGTTCGTCAGCTTCCGCCATGGCAGTTTGTTTATTCGGTGTGCCAATAAAGAGCTCGTCTTTGAATAGGCTATTTACATAATTATAACTTTTGTTATGAAGTGCCCACCGACCAACGTAGGCGTGCTAGGTTGGAATGGTATGGTATGGTGCATTGACGGAAATGACTTCAATGCATGCATTTCACATATTGAATTCAGCTGTATGTGTAGCATTGCAAGCAGAAACAAAAACCCGAAGGGAGCACATTGTTTTTTCTTGTTGACACTTGACTAAATGACGTCAAAGGTAATTTTAAAAAATGTCGGTGGCATTGATTGGCAATGCTCACCGGTAAGATAAACGTACTGCATGGCTTGACTGACAATTACCGTACCTACTGTTCCATTTAGAAAGAAGCTAAGGAACGACTGACTTATTGCTTAGAAATGCACATAATGTTCACGCTCAAGTGGTGAATGGTCGAGGTGTGTTAAACCCATTAAAAAAAAAACAGCCTGGATATCCATTTATTCTGTTTTGAACATTGCTGAAGTGATATCACCAAATGCCGAGGAGTTTTGCTCATTGCCGAAGTCATGGCGAAGTGTCAAACTGTTTTGCAGATCGCTCATTTGAGTGTTCAATCTGTTTTGTCGAATGGCTGAAATGAAACACACGACGCCGGAATAGTTGTGCTCAATGCCGATTGTCGAAATGGCTCTTCAAACAGTTATGGCCAATGGTTGAATTCAATTGCAAAAAGGTGTAGTATGTTGGGACTCTCATCAGCGAATAGAGCATCTCTATTCTCCAATCAAAACTCGGCCGATACTAACGATATCGACATGCAGCCGTCACCAGCGACAGTAATTATCATTTGCTGCGTGCTGTACGGCTCATTTTCTCGCTCCAGTGACCGCCATGTTTGACACCATGTTTGACACCGCCATCGCGCCTGCAGCACCCCCGGCAACTGTCGCCGTGACGCTGCCACCCCTCCACGGTCGGCCGGGTAATTACTTTTGGAAAAAAAACTTGGCATGATAAAAAAAAAATGGAAAATTACATTTACAGGATCATCTGAAAGCCGCAGACGATTCCAGTACACGTAGGCATATTAATATAAATCCTCATGTACGTGTGTTTTGCGTGCAGATAAAAGCAATGTCGGTAATTAAGCACCGTTAATAAGTAAACGATTAACTCTCAACGCCCACCGAACGGACGTCCGAATTCAACACGAAATAAATTTGTCTCGAGAAATCCCACTGTTTACATAGACCATTATTCGCGATAGACAGCTCTCTCGATCTGTAGGGGAGGTTCTACTACGCTGCATCCGTCAGATAAACGTGCTGACGAAATCGGCTCCCGCATTCACCGACACCCACGGACAATGCCAAAGTCAAAACAAACATAATAAGCACTTTATTTATCAACAAGACAATTTAAAACAGGTTACATGCCACCTTGAGTGTACAACTCTTCATAATGACACTGGAACATACAGGACCCGTTTTGTGATTATCGTTGATAATCTTGCATTAACAACAGAACATTCTTCACAAAAATAAATTCTCTTTTGGTGCACATGAGACTCGATAAATGGATCACAAAAGCAAGGAGTGATGCACCACAGGTGCTGCTAATCACTCCAGAGTTTGGACGGTTTGCGGAATGGCGTGCTACTTGAGATCGCTCGGGGTCGGCTAATGGAAATCGATAAACCATTCGGAGTCGGTTGACATCAGTAGACATCATCAGCAATCAGTAGAGATCGATTGATGCGGTAGAGATCAGTGGAGATCGGTAGATGGGCTGAGATCCATTGGAGACGGGCTGAGATCGGTAGGAGACGGGCTGGGTTCGGCAGGAGACGGGCTGAGTTCGGCAGTAGACGGGCTGAGATCGGTAGATGTGGTAGAGATCGGTGGAGATCGGTAGAAGACGGGCTGAGTTCGGCAGCAGACGGGCTGAGTTCGGTAGGAGACGGACTGGGTTCGCTCGGCGTCATGGTCGGCAGGCCGCCCGGGCACTGTGCTGATACGAGCTCGCTCGGCCCCCGTTCACATCTCCCGCGGTCGGGAGATGAGACTCCGATCCCGTGCGGTCGTCCGCCGTCACCTGTCGGCGGCGCGGCGTCCCGCTGATCTCCGCTGGGGACTGCCCACGCCCGGACCGCGTCAGCTCACTGTCAGCTTTGTCACTCAGCATCAGCGCCGACCTGCCGACCGGCGCGGGCACCTCGGTCACCGGAACTGCAAAAACGGCAACACCGAAAATATCATCAAATGGTCGGGCATCGGGCTCGTCTCAACAGGTGTAAAAAAAAAAAAACACGAACTAAAATGTTAGACTTTGAGTAAGTGACAGAATTAAAGATAACTCTGGCCTTATTGTTTAACCATAATAAAAATGGTTTGCAAGCATAGCTGAAGTGAAAACGAATACCATTAATTCGAAGGATACGAAAGTGGTTTATACAAGGAACGCATCATAGGCATGGCTGACTCAGTAATCCAACGATTTAGCGTATGCAAACGCCTACCTCCCCTCCTATCTACACCGGACACCTTTTCCACGTCTGATGCCAGTCTACCAACCAGTTCCCCTTATTATAAGGAAGTTAACTTTTCTGCTATAAGTACTGTAATTGGGCGATCGACGAAATAGCCTGTAAAGTGTTTCATAAGCTCGTGTACGTTGAGGCAGCATGAAGGGTTTTATGATTGATTATTACAAAAATTGCGTATGCTTACCCCAGAATGAGCACCGGAATCAAATGCCTCGGCAATCAATCACTCTGTAATCCAAAGAAATCGCCGGTAAGAAGGGCTCGTAAAATAGCCACGCTTTGTGTGGCTTGCTTGGTTGACATGACATAAATGCCACTGTAATGTGACAAACATTGCCTTGGCATTTTGTGTCTTACCGGTTGATGTTTACATTATATAAGTAGCATCCTTTCAGTCCCCTTTCTGTTCTGTTTTAGTTTTGCTTCAGACCCATCATATTCGGTATCCCCGCAATGCTACTTAGCGGCATACTGGTAAAATTCCTCTCAGCTTCCGTCACAGGGGGTGACCCACAGATCCGTCTGTAAATTTAATCGCTCTGTGACGAGCCCCGCGGAGCGGACGCGGCTCGGTCTGGCCACAGTGGCAGCGCGGCCCTGATTGCCGCGGCCGCGCAAAGTTCGGTAATCAGACGGCCAGGCGGACGCGGCGCAGTCCTGTTATGACACAAACTTGACGCAGGTACACGGAAGCGTCGCCGGGCGGGCCCGGGACCGGCGCCGATTGGCCATAATTAATACAGAGCGTAGTTCAGCTCCGGGATTAGTTCAGAGGGCGAGCTCATACCTGCGCCGCAACCGGAATGGGGCACACGGGCGGCATTCAAAGGGAGCTAGCCTGGCAGATCTGTCCTGGAATTAAATGAGGTTTGTTTTATAAGGAATGGTGTCCTCGATATAAGTTGTATTTCGAACAAGCCAGGAATTCTTAAAACTTACCTACTATGAGGCTGGGTAAGACAGCTTGGGGTGGGATGGGCACTTTAATGCAGGTCATGGTTTGGCCGCAGTAGAGCTGGGGCTGTATATGTCAATTGTGCAAGCCTTTACAAGGGATGGCATTTGGAAGAATTAAAATGATAAAAGGGAGCGCTATTAGCATAGCAAATGAGCCTCTACTAATAGCTACTAATAGCTCTACTCAAGCCTCTACTAATAGGAATGGGCGGAATGGCAACAGCGACTCTTCGGCATCAACTGAACTATTTTAAGGTCTAATTAACAGTAGCAATTACCTGACTGTCATGATAAACGGTCTCGTTTCCCAAGCTCCATCTCAAGTGAGTATACAAGGTATAACGGATAGTTGATCATGGATAGCCATGGATGAAACGGTCAAATCACTTGACCAGCACGGGCAGACAGGAGCACCTGGCTGCTTCCCGCCGACTGCCCCCGGGCTCGGCCGGAGAGTGGAATCGGCCCGTCCGCAATCAGCGGCTGTCGGACGTTCAAACGGACTCGGGACATGGAACTATGGAAGGAGGGACGAGAACAGGCGTGGAGGTCGAGCTATCCAGGGTCGAAACATCTTCGTCGAAACCACCTTCGAGGAGCAGTCTCCACAAGAGTGCAGCTTTGTTTATACTTGCTTTAGTGGATTTGAGTGTTACGAATACAAGGATGCTCGTATTGTGCTTATCAAGTTATCTGAGAAAGGATGTATTGTTTTTGGTGTGGTTGTCACGCAGTAACGTATTTGATGACGTATGTGTTTCCCAGATCCATGTAGATCAGGTGCCACTGATCTGACCCGGGATCCCAGTCGATTTCAGCAGCCATATGATAGTCGCCCTGACTGACCTCTGAGACACTGGGTGACCCCACTTCAGCGACCCTGAATGACCTCAGTGACCCAGCTGATCCCTAGTGATCCTGACCGATCCCAGTGACCGGGACCGACCCCAGTGATCATGACTGACCCGCAGTGACCCAGCTGACCTGCAGTGACCCGGGTGACCCGCAGTGACCCTGACTGACCCCAGTGATCCTGACTGATCTCAGTGACCCAGGTGACCCTCAGTGACCCAGCTGACCCGCAGAGACCGGGACTGACCTCACTATGGCTCGCAGTGGTCGTCGTCGACCATCCTGTCGGTTGGCTCGGTGGCCGTCGCTCCCGGCTCCGGTTTGTACAAGCTGGACGGCAGTCCGAGCTCAGATAGGCGCGGCCCCGAGAGACGCGGCTCCGAGCTGGAGACACGGGTCACGGCAGAGCGATATAGATACCAGTTACCACCGCTGCACTGGCCACCGCGGCAGATACTGGGATATCAGCCATTTGAGGACGATCACTCGCATGCCACTACTTTTATAAATATGCACCGCAAAAGAATGAGATCCCTGCACGGGAGACGAAACTACAGGGCAAATTTATCTCAATAGGATTGGCATTAAAAGTAAATTTCCGATATCATGTTGCTATCCAATCATTATTTGGCGTAATCTCCCCCGTAATTTCTATCTAGCGAGAAAATTACTCTGAACAGATCTGAACAAAAGCTGCTCCCGGCGCTCCTGATGCAATTTCCTCCGATTGTATGTTAAAACTGTTAGTACAAATTGTTCCAGGAAAGTGCGGCTGATAAGCAAAGTTCATTGCATTTCGATCGGTTCACTTACCGCAGTCATCCGATCGCGATTCGATTTTCGATCAGGGATTCGATATAATCACTTTGCTCTTCGTCAAGGACAAATGGGATGTGGCATAAGACCATTTGCAGAAACAAGTCATCAAAATGGAAAAGGATGGATAAGTTCGAGTTCCAGCATTACACTGAGTTTGTGTGCGGCTAGCGCCTTAACCCCCGGCGAGTGACCCCCGGTCGCACCTGGCGGGGAAGCGCTGGACGGGGGTGCTCCGCTGGGACGTCGAGGGACTCCTGCGCTGGCCGCCGGCGCCGCGGCCCACCGGTGACGTCAGACGCGGCCTGGTGACGTCACCGGGCGAGAGCAGCTGCTCGGCGCTGGCCCGCAGTGCCGGCGCCGTGAGCAGCAGGTGGTCGCGGCCCGAGCTCGGCCGGCGAGTCGGTGACGGCGGCTCCACCTTGGTGGCGGGTAGGGGCGAGGCGCGCGCCGACGCCGGCCGCCGCGACAGCAGCGGCGAGCTGGCCAGGAACTGGCGCTTCTTCAGCTCGGCGCGCTCGGCCTCGAACGCCATCCTCTGCGGACAGAGACCGGAGACTGCAGGGTGAACGGGGGCCGACACTAGGCACCAGTTGACACCACCACGGGCGCCAGCCGACGTCAGCCAGGACTAACATCAGTCCGAAGGCTGATGACGGGACCATAGACAGTGCCTTTTGGTATGTTTTTTTTTTTAATATTCAAAAGACAAATTACACTATCAAATTTACTACACTTAGCTATTTCATCCTGAGCTAAGAATGCTGAAACATGGTAATTGGACCTCAGTACAACGAAAGACGCCCTATCAACCTTTGGGCAAGGAATGCATGATAGGACTGCCGATCATTCCAAAATCGTTTAACTTCTTCAAAAGCCTAAAAGGTAAGCAGACTGATTTACGTAGTATCGTTACTTGAGCCATGGTTCATGGATGACGCTATTCAAAGTCTTAAATTATGATCAGTGGACGAGCCACCGCGACTGCAAGCAGCGCACCGATATGGTCCAGCACAGCGCCGAAACTTCCCATGTAGTTTGCAAGCCGCCAGCCGCCCAACCCTCTATTAATCGCCCACCTTCGGCGCCACCACCCCCAGCTTTCATCCATGGCATTGGCCCCCAATTAGGAGCCATGCACACCGACCGACGCCGTGAATCGGCACTCCGACACCGGGCCTGAATGGGTGCCGGGCGGAGGCGGGAAGCGCAGGAGGCGGCAGCGGCCGGCCCGACTGGCACCGTCTATTTCCGACATCCAAATCGGAGCCGGCGCGAGCGTCGCGCCGGGCTCCGACAGCCGCTTTCAGATTGATGCAGCGCCGGCGGTAGCACTGGAGCGCGACCATCGGGAGAGGGCTGACCGGAACAAAGCCCGGCCCAGACGTGAGCCCCACCAACCCGAGAGTGGTCACGGGACAGAGTACGGCCACCGAGAAACGCTGAATGATAGGTCAGCGCTCGGAAGTCTTTATGCATGTGCCAAAGTAGAGGTGTTCTTTTTTCAAAGATAGGACGTGAATGACATTATTCCCTATGTGGGTCTCAGCTAAGTAGCGAATGAGGCAGTAAAATGGAGGATAAAAATTTAATCTCCGTGGACTTTTCCACCACACAGAAACTGGTCTCTTATCAACAGCGTTTCACGAGCGTTTCACTAGCTAGTCTCGCATATGACATATGACGCTAGCGTCTCGCATATGACAAGCTGATTATGAAGAGAACTAAATCCGGTCCCCCAGGACTATAAATAATGAGTCTTATGATAATGCCGCGCTTTCAGGGCTCTGTCTACCCATCGCTCATTTGCAGATTCCCAGCTCTTCCCTGACTCGACAGCTCGGGCTGCCGGCCGGGCCGCGCTCCGAACCGGCGCGTCACTGACACAGACCGGTAACAATACCCCGGCCCGTGCTCGACACCCCCGGGGCCGACAGGCCATATCTGTCGGTGGCACCGAGCCCTTCCGTCGGACGAGCGCACACAATGACGCCGTCTCCGCTCACGGACCGCCCGAGGCTGCCGCCGCTCGGTCGCCATGGCAACGGTCGTCAACAGGCCGACCTCCCGCCGGTGCGGTCTGATTGGATAGCGGGGGTCAAGGTCGCCGCCGGGCGGCTTAGTTTAACGCCGGACGAGCGAAAGGTGGGAACCTAACAAGGAAAAATAAACAAGAAACTTTTGCAGCCATTTGAACCCCCAAAAGCCTACGTACGGCCCTCCAGCAAAAGAGCGGTTGGTTAGCCTATGTACTTTTGGTGTAATAACTTTAAATGACAGAGACACTCCTGCAAAATGACTCAATAGAAATGAGAAGAGGGTTTGTGCACACATTTCGGCTGTGGTTTTCAACAGCCATTAGACGTATTCATCAATGCAGATCTATTATTGTGATGTTGGCAACCAACCACTTAATACCTGGAGAGCCGTACCTTCAACGATGAAAACGACTGAGCTCCGGCAATCAAACAATACTTGGCACAGATACCTTCGAGTCTCAAATCCAACACCTGCTACAGGTACATCAACAACGCAAGCATAGATGGACCATTATCTGAAGCATGTTTTGCTGCGGAGCCAGTCCACTGATACAGAAAATAGCCCAATTTGCCCGCTCACCTCTCGCCCCAGCCGCAGCACGGCCTCTGTGTACATATCGCGCTCCCGGGCCAGCGCCTGCCGCTGGTCGGACAGCATCTGCTCGCGCATCGCCAGCTCGTCGCGCTCCTCCACGAAGAAGGCGTTCCGCTGGAACGAGTCGTCGCAGGTGTCCCCGCCTGCGGACACAGGGGTGCTTTGGTGCTTACCGCCTGGGTCGGGGCAAGGAAAAATGCCGTAACAGACCATGTCGCCTTTTACCAGCAAAGGGTGAAAGTGAGTAGAGAGTAATATGATGTGAAGCATCGATAGGACCATGCACTATATCAAATTGTTGTGGCTTAAGGTTTCCCAGTGGCTCAGAGTCATGGTTAAATAGTCGATGATAATAGTCAAAGTTGCCTATGGCCGCTTGTCAAGTCCCGGCCGCTTGTCAAGCATATAGGTCGTAATCCACCCAAAGCTCGACACAAACATTCACTGACCTCCTGGAAAACTTCCGAACGACGCCCTACCGAACACGGCGCCACGCCGCCAGACACTCGTATAACCCAAGATTTCACAACGGACCACGCGCGCGTCTGGTAGCGGCAGAGGTCTAATACTGAGGCGGATAGGTACTGCACTGGTCCACCCGTCAGCCGGTCGGTGGAGTGTCGAGCTGCTTCGGATTAGAGTGTCGCGAGGTATTTATCGATTATCGCGTACAAGATCTGTGGGCTAAAATGCGCTTCAGGTTCCGTCCAATCAACCGTGGCTAATTCATGCTCTTCCTGCTCTAGAACTTGGAGCGGTGCCTGGGGCAATACTACAACATAACTTTTAAAATTTCCGATAGGATAAACGAATTTCCGTTGATTTCATTACGTAAATGTAAAGTTGCGCAATTTAAAATAGCTCTATTTTTAAAAGGAGGGAAATCAATGTAAAACAAAGCAAAACACGTGGAAAACGGTTATCACCAATCATCGTACTCTAACAGGACACGGACTGACAAAAAGAAATAGTTTTCATCCCGATTATATCTCCAGCAGTCCAGCTAAAGTCGTCGCGTCCCCCAGTTCTCTTCTCAGTTCGACCCGCCACCCCAAACCTGCGACTGACAGGATCTGAAACTAACCGCCACGCCAACGACCGGCCAGTGGGTCCGTCGAGAACGGACAATTAGTCGAGTGGGACGCCGCGGTCGACGGCGAGCACCAGCCGCGGTGGCGGGGGGGGGGGGGGGGAGCCCACCGGCCGCGGTGGCAGAGGGGGGGGGGGACCCAGTAGCCTACTGGCCGCAGTGGCAGGGGAGGGGGAGCTCAGTAGCCCAGCGACCGCAGCCGTTTGCATTAGCTAACGAGTTGGCCAGCCTGGTCGGCCATCACGGCATCCGTCCTGTCCGGCACTACCGCTCCATGAAATCTGGCCCGATATCGTTATGTGGTCGGTATTCAAGGCAGTGGAGAGCAAATAAGTCAACTTGGATGGTCATCGAAAATCCTGAGGGAAGTCGAAATACTGTGCAAAGCTAGCGTTAAGCTGAAGCTCGACAAGCCCATTACAACCTAAAAATCGATGAAATTCGCGGAAGCAATAGCGGATGAAGCTAAAATGCAAACCAAAATCAAGGACGCCTTAAAATGTGATCGGATTCGATCGTTAAGTGTCTGTCTAAGTGCTGAGGGATTGGATTAAACTTGCATGGGACCGAGACCCAATTAATAGAACATGTCTAAGCGGATCTCCGCTCAGGAAACAGACAAAAGTGATTCTGTTAGAGTGTAGAATATGGCCCGCTATTCGTGCACTGGCAGCTAAACCTGCAAACGAAATTCACAAGACATCGGCAAACCGATTAATGGTTCCTCCTTTATGTAATCCGCGCTGATACCAATTAGCACGAATTAGCGGCAATCCCGTGTTTTAGTGGTTATGGAATCCGTATAATGACCCAGCGGTAGTGAGTCGGAAACAGAAAAGGCACATACTGTAGTGCTTGGCCCATATCGTTATTTCAAACCAGCTGGCAATTACTGGTGAGAGGATGGCTACCTTGATCTGAATAACCATTTTAAATAGGACGCAGCCACATGACAGAAAATACAGATGGCCAGCGTAAATTTGACAGAGCATGCTATATTTATGCGGCACTGTAGCCCAGTCTAGCCCCAGATTCAATCACCATAGTGCTGGCGCTGGCCGCCATATTGAGCCTTGGGCCTCGTTTCATAAAGCGAGTCCATAACATACGCCGTTTTTTTTTTGTCTTTTATTGCAAGTGCATGTGAAGCGATGAATTTATTTCCCCTTCTCCCTTCTGTTCTTGCTTGCATGATAAATAAATTCAACGATTCAAACTATCGTCATCGCTTCACATGCACTTGCAATACAAGACCAAAAACCGGCGTAAGTTACGGACTCGCTTTATGAAACGAGGCCAAGGTCTCTGGTTTTGTGGGCCAGTGTAGTTGGGTCCAGCGTTGACGACATTAGGAAAATTAGCCATCACAACCCAGTGGCGCCAGAAAGGTGTTTTCGGAACTTTATGCGACATTTTGAAAAGTAACGATATAACTTCAGAGAACTCAACAATCAAATCAGCAATAACGAGCGGTTAGTCGAATACAAAGCCATCAATTCGGTGAACTGGCCGACTTAACAAGCGCATGATCACGGTCAAATTCTACGACTCACTCGTCTCTCGTTTGCTCGCCCCCCCCCCCTCCCCTCTGGAGCCGCGGTCTGGCCGCACCTGTGCTGGCCTCGATCAGGAGCCGCTGCTCCTGCACCATCCTCTCTGCCTGCTCCAGGCGCTGGCGCAGCTCCTGAGCGTCCCGCCGCGGTGAGTCGGCGCCGACCGTCACCCCAGACGACTCTGGAGCGGACGCATGGGAGGCCGTGAGCAGGTTGCCTTCACACTTACAGATGGCTTACGCACCACTGTAAATAAGCTTCAGTTTTTATGGCATGCTCCCAAACAACTACATTACTATGTTAAATTACCGTATTCTGACTTTTTAAACAGATATTTGTCGGTGGCATAGTCGTTAATCTGTACGGCGACAAGGACGTCTGAAGAGCAAGTGTTAACAATTTAACTGAGCCTGGCTCCCTTCGAGCTCCACCATGGACTGAACCTGGCTGCTTTATGGCACTCCTTCGGACTGGCCCTTGCTCACCTCGTACTTCTGAGAGCCGGGTCAGCTTGCTCAGCTGACAGGACACCAGACTGTCGACGGTCTCACTCAGCGGGTCGTACGGCAGGCCGAGCTCCAGAGCGTTCAGCACGTGCGGGTCCCCGCACAGGGTGCAGCCGTCCTCACAGGCCACCTGGCAGCCGCAGAGGTCACCGAACGTGTCAACGTGTTAATCACTGTCGCACAGCAGGAGGGCTAACGGGAGATCAGACAGAAGCGGGATAGAAGGAAATCATAGACTGCTCAGTGGGCAGTAATTTCCCAGGCTAACTAGAAACGATCACTCCATCCCGTACTGAGACTCAGCAGCTTCCCCTCATATTCTGCCGAGAGGCGACACATATCCCTCACCTGCTGGGAGGCGGCCACCAGCGCGCGCAGCACGGAGCCCAGCAGAGAGCGCAGTCGCTGCGTCTCCTTCACCATCCGCAGGTGTCGTGCCTCGCAGCCGGCCAGCACGCGCTCGTACGCCTCCTCACGGGCCCTGCGGCGCGGAGCGAGCGGCCGATCATGAGGCAAGGCAGTGGGGACACCAGCTGGTTAAACTCATAGTCCTGCTTGTGCACCTATTGGCGGTCTGTTATGGTCTGAACTTGCCAACAGCCTTGACCTTTCCACTTCTCTCTAGGTTAGGTTAGGTTAGGTTAGGTTAGGTTAGGTTAGGTTGGCTTACCTTAGCTTAATATGGACGTCAAACCCCTTGAGACTCCACTTTTTTGCGATAATTTTTAAATGCGTTAACTCTCGTTGACGATATTCTGGCAATGTGTGTTTCAGAACCTGCCGAAACTTTTATTACTAAGGTATTTTGACGCCAAACGATTATGAAAGGTACTTCTCATTTACTCGTAATGTTAAATTTCACGAATGAATCTGCTGTTTGGGTAGAGGCTACGCGCTCATGGGGCGGAGCCACATAATGACGTCAGCGCTAAGCTCCGCCCTACCCCTCCGTCGCTCCTTTCCCGGCGTCCGGTCACTCGCGTCCCGCGCTCCATCCAAGCTTGATGGTGCGAGGTAGCTGGTAGCGGTAGCGGGCGCTGGTAGATGACTTAAGACAGATGGGCGCTGTTGGCGGGGCTCGAGTATGGCCGAACGCAAGCCTCTGCCCGGCCTGAATTGACCTTAGCATTACAGTGACTGAGAAGTACCTTTCATAATCGTTTGGCGTCAAAATACCTTAGTAATAAAAGTTTCGGCAGTTCTGAAACACACTAGCCAGAATATCGTCAACGAGAGTTCACGCATTTAAAATTATCGCAAAAAAGTGGGGTCTCAAGGGGTTGACGTCCATAGTAGGTTAGTTTATGTTAGGTTTGTCGGCGGACTCGACCAAGTCCTCACGTGTTGCTGCCCTCTAGCAGACTCCACGTGAAGGCGCCCCTAGATGGTCCCAGCTCTGCCCTCTGAGGATCCACCCTGAGCGCCCTCTGCCGTCTCACCTGTCGCGGCGGCCGGTGTTCGCCACCGCGCCCGGGTGCCGTCTGTGCGGCTGAGCAGACCAGAGATGACCAGCCGGACGCCCTGGCCCCCGCCGC